CCCCAAAACCCCAAAACCCCAAAACCCCTCGCATAGATTTATAAATAGAATATTTGATATAATTCTAATAAATATGAAGAATAGAAATATTATTGAATGCGAAGAAAATCTTTCATCAGATTTTCTTAATGAGTATGCATCTACAAGTGAGGTGAAGGTCAATAAGAGGCTACATAAGAACATGAAAATGTCCTCTTTCAAGGCATATAAAGAAACAAAGTCATTTAAGCATACCATTTCAAACTTTGCATCACTATTTGTGAGTCCCAAATTCAAGTCATTTTTTGTTCGAAGCAAGGAAATTAACAAATTAGAAGAGTCAAATTCATTAAAAATTATAATGAAGAACCTAGTCAATTTATTCGTGGGACCAAGGGTGACTGTCCTTCAAAAAGAGGGGGATTAAGAAGGCAAATCAGTGAGCTTCTCAAGGAATCTGCAAGAATTAGACAGAAAAGTCAGTTTATCCAACAAGAGAAGCCAGTAGAAAACATTTTCTTTGAAAAACCCGAAGATACTGATAAACCTTTAAAAAAGGCGAGTTTTTTACTTTTGGAATTGATTCACAACCATAATTATGCTAATAAATTACTCAAAATGCTATTAAAGACTGCCCATGGGAGTATGACCCTTATCTCAGAGCTTCTCGGCTAACATTTAAAACACTCTAAATTCTTCAGAAACAAGCTACTAAGATTTCCTAAACTCATTATTCTTCTATAGGCATCATTATGGAATTTGAATATTTTTGGAATTTTTTCTAAACTTTAAAAACTGAGATTAAATTATTGCTGATATGATGCATTCGGAGAACATATCACTTAATCTGAATAAGCCTCAAGGCTAAGAAAGAAGGGAAAGATTTTATTGTGTTTAAAATCCATAGTTTCAAAATATGGTTTTTAGGAATGAAGTTAAAATTTATTTTGATGACAACTCCAAATATTTTCTACTAATTTTTCAAAAGATGGCTGCTAATGAATGGATCAAATGTTAGATTATAAGAAGAAACAAAGCTTAGTAAGATTTTATTTGCTAAAATGTCTATTAGAAGCGAGGCCTAAAGTTTTATATAATAAGAATAGGTGACTCCTGTATTTTGTTCATACTCTAATACCTGAATTCAGAATTTTTATATTTTTTAACTCTCTCCAAATTTAAGATTCTAAATAAATAGTGTTCTAAAACTTTATCTTGTGAACGATCTTATTCATATTTTCGATTCAAACTCAGAAGACACGCTTTAAAAGAGATTTCTTAAGTATTATTAACTGTAAATTATTTACTAAAGCACTCTTAATTTCTACTAAAAGTTTTGAGTTTTATGGTTGACTACACAGACTGTTAGTTCTGATTCCTAAATCTTTCGATCAGCTTTGGTACTTGTCAGGATCTGAAAGAATGAGGCTTGATATCACTCTGATACTTCAGGTAAATATAGACCTCGGTTTTTAGGTTTTAATAAAAGAATAAACTATGATCAGTAGCAATCCTTTTCCTAGAGATATATTTCTGAAAATTTTAATAAAAGCAAATTCCTAATTCTCTTAGATTTCTATAATTTCAGTTATTAATTGATGCCATTGCCTTGTAATTCATATTGGCTTACAAAGGATTGGTCTGAATAAGCATGGTCCCAAGCTCCCTGATTCTGAACCATATTACAAAATAAAAGAGGAAAGCATCGTAAGAAACCTTGTCTAAAGCTATTTGAGTTATCTTATATGGCCTTCTCATCTCTATCACAATAAACTAGAGATGACTTTATACTATAAAAATTTGATATCTAAGTCTCCATATTTAATCATTGTAGAGATTATTATGCCAAATATTATGAAGAAACACTCTAAAATATTAAAAACTTCACACATTTGAAGTCTGAGTCATTACTTTTTCAAGGAATAATGCAAGTAATTATTCTAATCTCTATGAGATTAATATTCCTTCATGCTTCTTTTAAAAGTTTGATTTTTCAATTTTTCTTACTGCTACCAACAGAGAATTCTCCAGCTTCAATAAGGTGACCATCCAATAAAATGTCATAAACTTTTCAGATTGTGGAGAAAGTTGACGAGGAAATAACAAATTAATTCAACTAAATAATCAGAGATTTATCGAAGAAGGTTCAAACAGGCTTCTAAGCGAGTTCTTAACATTATTTCTAATTAACTCAAATAGTTTCCTAAACTATCCAAGTTAGCCGCAATAATCTTTGCGAACTTTTTGTCTAGGTCTGCCTGATAAGATTTTTCTAAGCTTTCTTTTAAGAAGCTTACAAATATTTCAAATATTATAAAGCAAAGAATGCGAGCATAATTAGAGTAATACATGAGATGCATTTATATCTTAAATTGTTTCCCATACTGTTAATAATTAAATATTAAATCAAACCTCTGGCAGTAACAAGGGGTTTTGGGGTTTTGGGGTTTTGGGG